AAGAACCTAGAAGAATTATTTTAATAAGATAGCAATAGCAGTGTTTTTTTTTTAATGAAACCTCAAAAAATTAGTTTTATTGTCTTCTGTCCAATGACTGGTACGGTCCAATGATTGGTAGTTCACCCTATTATTATGCTCTATTGATTTCATTATTATTTTAAGTTACACAAACAATTTATGATACTGAATAAACATTTTTTCTTTTTTTCTTTCTTTCACAATAAAAGTATCTATATTCATTTAATATCAATTCGGTGTACGTGTTTTCTCAATTCGATGCCCCATATTCCGCGGAATTGAGATCCACGGAATTGAGGAAAAATCACATTTTATCAAATTACTCGAAAATATTATAAATTACAACGATTTCTACCAAACGTAATGGCAGATATCAGTTAAATACTTAATTAATTCAGCAGTAATCACATTAAATACTTCATGAACATTATTAATATCGCACACCGGTTTGAGAAATGTACTCCATATTTATTTACTACCACAGACAAGATACACTTTTTTTTTTTTATCATAGATTATCATTGGCATTGAGTTTATAGTGAATTAGTAAATTAAACACACGCAACACGAGTAGAGCACCCCTACCCGCTGCCCGAGGAGCCGTTGCCTTAACTACTACGATGAGGAGCGGCTCAACAACTCCGTTGAGACCCCAGGCCCGCCCCGACGCGATGCGCCGCCGCCCCTACGCGCTGCCCGAGGAGCCGCTGCCTTAACTACTACGACGAGGAGCGGCTCAACAACTCCGGTGAGACCCCAGGCCCGTCGCTATGCGACTCACGCAACACGAGTGGCGTCCCGACGTGACGAGCCGCTGCCTTAACTGCTATGACGAGGAGCGGCTCAACATTCCCGGTGAGATCCCCAGCCCATCGCTACGCGACTCACGCAACACGAGTGGCTGCCCGACGAGCCGCTGCTGGACGACGACGATGACGCGTGCCTCGACTACTACGACGAGGAGCGACTCAACATCTCCGGTGAGACCCTAGGCCGCCGCGACCCACGAGCGGCGTCGCCCTGAGCCGCTGCCCGACGAGCCGCTGCCTTAACTACTACGATGAGGAGCGGCTCAACATCTCCGGTGAGACCCCAGGCCGCCGTGACCCACGAGCGGCGCCCCGACGCGACGCGGCGCTGCCCCGACCCGCTGCCCGACGAGCCGCTGCCTTAACTACTACAATAAGGAGCGGCTCAAAATCTCCAGTGAGACCACAGGCCGCCGCGACCCTCGAGCGGCGCCGCCCCTACCCGCTGCCCGAGGAGCCGCTGCCTTAACTACTACGACGAGGAGCGACTCAACATCTCCGGTGAGAACCTGGCACGAGCGGCGCCAGGACGCGACGCGGCGCCGCCTCTACCCGCTGCCCGAGGAGCCGCTGCCTTAACTACTACGACGAGGAGCGGCTCAACATCTCCGGTGAAACTCTCACCATGAGACTCCAGGCACGCCGCGACCCACGAGCGGCGCCGCCCCGACCCGCTGCCCGAGGAGCCGCTGCCTTAACTACTACGATGAGGAGCGGCTCAACATCTCCGGTGAGACCCCAGGCCGCCGCGACCCACGAGCGGCGCCGCCCTTACCCGCTGCTCGAGGAGCCGCTGTCTTAACGACTACGACGAGGAGCGGCTCAACATCTCCGGTGAGACTCCAGGCACGCCGTGACCCACGAGCGGCGCCGCCCCTACCCGCTGCCCGAGGAGCCGCTGCCTGAACTACTACGACGAGGAGCGACTCAACATCTCCGGTAAGACCCCCAGCACTGAGCCGCTGCCCGACGAACCACTGCTTGAGGACGACGATGTCTTCCAGTAATTTGGCCTTTTAGCTTGGTCCATAGGCCAAGTTTCTGGATTGAATTTTTAAATGTTTTTTCTTCCAGCAACTGGGCCCACTATGATTCTAGAGTAGAAATTGTTGATTTGGTGTTTAAAACATAGAAGGTGGGCCCAGTTACTGAAAAAAAAAACATTTAAATCGACTAATACAACAATGAGCGGCTCTACATCTCCGGTAAGATTCGATAGGCCCGTTTACGATCTAGTAATGGCTTATGAGTTGTGCCAACGTGCCGCTGAAAAATCTAAAAAGGCCAGCGTTTTAGAAGAAAACAGGCTGAGTATTTGCAGGACCTAGGTTACATGTCATAATAATCACCAAGCCCTGATGAATAGAACAGTTTCCAAGTGGCTATAACTATAACGAAGGAGCGAATCTTCTATAACCTTGTCTTACAGCTATTTAGGTATGTGCTACTGTCATTTCGGTGATCCGTGAAGGAGAGGCCATAAATGACAAACATTTTGTCCGAGTCCATATAAAAACGCTGAAAAATGTATCCGTTACACGACCCTCATCATGCGCCACCTGTCTAGTTCCATCGCCATACATTTTTTAGCGTCTTCAGGCCGTTACGTCATAGCCCCCACGTGTCGAGCTAATATGGAAGTTATTCGACGACAGCTTCAAATGATACTCGTATCTATTATTTTGGCTTTGCCCTCGTTCCCGCAATCGCATTGCAACTATGAAGTTATCAAACAAAACATTGCACACGTGTTCTCCGACACGAGGCTCTCCACACTATTAAATCATATTTAAATGCCTAATGCAGTAAGTCCCGTCTTGACTGCAGTTAATTCCAGAGATCAGTACTCGATTTGCCTGCATCAATGGAGACTGATGGTGATTGACCCTTCTCGATTAAGATTTTTGATCATATTTTGACCAAAATTAAATTAGACCTGAGGAAGATGTTTTTCAGAGCAAACTTCGGCATATTGTGTACAATTTATTCAAGTCGGTAAGTAATAGAGACGCTGATTTGCATAAAAAATCGTTGGTCAAATAGCTTTTTAGTCTAAGGAAGATCCAAACCTACCGCCTCTTCATTGAATGCACTGTTATCAAGCCTCTGGCACTTTTGGAATACCACAACACAATATAGTACCTACTAACTAAAATTGCATTAATGATCAGTATTCGTTCCTAAATCTTAGGTAGGTATACCTAATCAAAGAAACTTCAAATCGTGTAACAAATACCAAACCCCCCACAAGGCTCTACAAGATTGCAAGGTTACTTGCTAAAAGTGAAATGTAAAATATTTAACATCGAGTGTAATAGTGTCTACAACAATTATTAGGTATTTCACTTAATAGAGTTCTGGGCAATCTATGAAATGTAACTGCCATGCTAATAAAATTCAACACAAAATAATTTGAATGAAAATTTCTTGTTTCACGTCCCAATTTATTCAATACCTACCTACAATAATAATGAAAGTAGAAGGTAGAGTTGACAATTTAGAGGTCTCAATGAAATTTCAATTTGTTTCTCTCTCCGACACTTGACATTGGTGGTTTATCGTCTGAGGAACACGGCTGGGACAATGAAATAGGTCGTTATAAAGAACCTTTGTCCTTTGAAGTGCTATTTTCCCGATATTCAATGAAGCACTTACTATGTCAAGGTTTACGATTTACAGTTTTTCCAAGGACTAAGTTTTACGTCCCATTTTAGTTAGCTTTTGGAAGAAACTCACTATTTAACCTAGACTAACACAGAGAATATTAATGAAGAAACTAACCTAACGTAAACGAGGATGCCCTTTAAATTACCGCCATCCAGTTGCCATGCCTTTCTTGAATTAGGGTTCAAGAAAGTTGTGCTTAGTTTACAGTTTGACAATTGAATACTGCTTAAAAAATCAAAATCAATAATATTTATTCAGTTTAGACCACAAGTGGCACTTATGAACTTAGATGGAGCAATTATTTCTTGAGTTATTTATTATCCTACTAGGTGGACCGACGATCTGGTAAAGGTCGCAGGAAGTACCTGGATGCGGGCAGCGCAGGACCGTTCATTGGTATACCTTGGGGGAGGCCTTGCTTGGTCCAGCAGTGAACGTCATTTGGCTGAAACATTAGCTTGTGAGACGTCTTAACCCTTACAGCTGAGCGGGGACCTACGGAGAAAATTCATTTCGAATTATATTTCATTTCAATAAAGTTCAAAACACCAAATACAACCAGGTAAAGAGTTTAAAGTTAATCATCATCATCATCAAAAGAAGCGATGGAAGTTGACCTTAAAGTCTAAACGCATTGTCATTCAAAAGAGGCGTCGTTCCCGACGGCTATTATCGGGGAATTAGGGATGGTTTATTGAACTCGATCCATAGGACAGGGTGATTCAACGGTTCTTTCGTGCCGAGTAATCTTTTGTGACAATGTCCTCAATTTGAGGCTAAACTGCCATGAGTTTGTGTCAACCTCAAACGGACTTTTAGGTTAATCTTTTTACGCGTTATTTTTATGAAAACACAAACAGTATTATAACTTCAAAGTAGGTATATGTATAGTTATTACCACTTCTTGTTCCCACTGCTGCACTATTGCTACTAAGCTGCTCTATATTCAGGCTATGGTTGACCATCAATAAAAATAAAAACCCTAACCAAAGTAGGTAATTAGAAGAAAGGAAAGTATTTATGTGGTAACTGGACTGTGATACTTGGTCAAAAGGACGTCATGTGGTGAATGAAACAGAATAACGGGAGTATAAAGGACAGTTTAGCATTTAAAAGCAAACTCAAATCATGCTTGTCTGAAAATAGTTGATTTTACAGACACATCAACTCGTAAAACCTTCAACCCAATCACCTCCACCACCCTTCAACAATTAAAAAATAACTTCCACTATCCACTTTACTATAGTTACAATAGTTAACTGTTTATGTACCAAATACCAATGTATTTATAATGAGTCAATCAACGGAATTGTGTCACCGATCAATAATTTAAACACAAACAAGACAAAGACCGTAAAGTATGTTTGTCCCGCTCAACCCTGAACCATAGCCTGAACATCTGTTTTACATTTTAAGCTCAACGAAGCGCAGAACGGCCTTAAATTTTTCCGACTATTAAACATGTCAGAACAGCATTAGCATGAGTTGTTTTAATATCGCCTCGCTGGCGCTCCGGCCCATGATCGTTGCATAACCTGGCGCGGCGCCAACCCCGGGCAAACAGTCTCCAATAATGCATAATGAATCCTCAAAATTGGAAACAATTTGTGCAAACGCATCAGAACGTTTCGTGTAAACCAAACAATTGGCTTCAGAAATAAGACTTCGCTGTATTTAAAGGCACGAACAAGTTTGTTAGCGAGAAACCGAGTTTCAACAGAACTGAAACTGTATTTGGAAATCTAATTTTCTTTTAGGTTTTCCTTGAAGGCTTTTCAGAATATTGGGCAATTGAGCGTACGGCATTTATTATAGAGTCGCCGATATTTCCTGAAGGAAATTTGAAGTTTTCAACGAAATAAAATTAATAATACACAGTCGATTTACGAAACTGATTGCTTCTTCCTTGTTCTTGTCCATAGGAAAATATACTATAGGTAGGTACTTCTTCCGTGCAAACTAAGAAACTTTTGTTTAATAATGAACTTTCATGCCTCATTAAGATTAAGATGCACAGTTGATAATGAAGTGTTGTCCATGGAATTAAATAAGTATTTACATTACTCTCTGACTCTTATTTTTTTTTAATAACCTTATGTGCTGTTTACGTTTATGCCTCAAATTATATTGTTTCCAATAACACGTACGGTAACATGAAACATGTGTCGCTTCATTTCGAAGTGTCAAAGTCTAGAAGGTCACATCTTGAGTGTTCCTTTGCAGTTCAATGGCTTTCATTTACGCTTTGTGCGAAAGTTGACGTGACACCTCTCGAGTGCTCGATATTTTATTCAGAAGCAAAATGAGTTATGTGCTTCAGATATGAATAATATGAATATTCAATAATAATTTTCTCGTGTAGGCTGGTAAATTTGAAATAGATATTACGATATAACATTCATTGTTTTTCGCGAATGATTATTATGTATTATTCTAATAATTTACAACGGATACTGTATTTTACTTGTTCTGAAATAGAAATTCCATTGTTCTATTCCCTAAAATATTTTATCGTCAGTTATTGTTTTACAATAAAACCCATTGATTGTTTTCGGGGAACGCGACAATCGTCAAAATAAGTTTTGAATTTTACGATTTCATTCATGCAACGATGTTGCTTTCCTGTCCCTGCTCGATATAGATAAAAAACTTTTTATAAATAAAATGCATCAATTATTACAATGTCAATGCCACCGATCGTACCTAATTATGTTACATTTACTGCTATCAAGCTGTGAAAGAAATTTGAAACTCAGTCTTCCTCTAGGCATCGGGTTTGCTAGTCTTTTGCCATGATATGTGTGTACACTGTCACAAGCTAAGTCAGACGTAAGTAGTATGTTTACCTAACAAAAGGCTCAATCGAATAGATAGCTTAACCTTAATGTGCCCTCCAAATCACAAAAACATCTTCGTTCGTTTCAGCCGAAAGATGTCCACTGCT